TGCAATTACCTTTCTGGGGGGGGATCAGCATTGAAGCTGAATCACGATTTTTATCCCTCAAGGTTGTCAGCCCTTGAGGTATGGACGACGACGACGACGACGATAGTGTGGGATGAAAGAACGGCACACACGTATAGACATACACAAACACCCTGATGCCCGGGGCGGGACTCGAATCCGCGATCTTCTAGTCCGAGACCGCTACGGCACTACTGCCCTAACGATCTCGGCCATCTGACCAGCTAACCATTGTTATGTTAATTTTTTTTAAATACACTTTCATCATTTGTTGCTGTAATTCTAGACAAGACTAGTAATATATCCATCCATTCTCAATTATCCACTGTTGCATGGTGTTTACTTTCAATCAGAGACATCGTTGAACATTTCCTAAGGTTTACTGACATCAACTCAAATGCCACAGTGGCTGTCAGAGCTTGGCTGTCAGAGACGCCCGCCCCGTCTGAAGTAGATAGTGACGACGGCCAGGAAAGCCCCGCGTTCAAATCGCACGGTTGTAGATTTACCAGAACATCGTTTTCACACCCTCAATAAATGTGAGTGTAGTTCCAAACAAGTTGCTTGGTGTTTCGATGGTACTGCAAACACTGATGGGCTTCAGAAACGACTTAAGAGACAGATACCCCGACGCAGTATTTGTGCACTAACTGGCACACAGACTTAATTTAATGCACTCCCAGTCAGTGTCAAATATCAAAGAGTGTAAAATTTGTGTCATGATTTGTAAACTCTTTCTTTCCTAATACCAAAGACCACATGGAAGCATTTGATTCAGAAGTGAAAAGATTTCCCAATGTGTGCCCTACAAGGTGGAATTATAATTAAGATTTGAGACAACACGGGAGCACAAAGACGATTCAGTAAATTTGTATCCACTATTCTCTATAACACCGAAAAGTGGGATAAAAAACATGGATCATGACTACTTGGAGTTTTGAATGAGTGCTTTCCGATTTTGAATTTAATTTTGATACTGATGTTTAATGAAATATTTTAGCTGATTATCTATTCGGCATACTCCAACACAGGTCGCTTGATGTAAAGTAGATTGGGAAGGTAAAAGAAACAGAAGAGCTCAAAAACATGAGAAATGAATATGAGGTAGTGTGGCATAAATGTATAGAGAATATGGAACAGCTCACAAAGAAGCACTAGACGTAAGCACGTAGATCGATATGCACTATCATTGTTTATATTGTGAAATATTTGACAATGTGTGAAATAAGATTCAAATTAGATTCAACAGTCTGCATTCTTTGACATTCCTATTAACTGATAGATAAAACATAAAAAATAGTTTTCAATAAAATGTTTTCCTCTCTAAAACAAATTATGGTCAGCATTATGATTTTTCTAGGCTCAGAAGTGAACTTTGCATTACATATTCAACAAATGAATATCTATGAGTATTTCTAATTTACTTATGTATCTTTATAGAACTAGTTTGTAAATGGCAGCATTTAAGGATTTTTTTCACGGCATTGTGGATTGATTGCCACTATTCCAATTACTGTTGCTGTCATCGAATACTATTTCTCTGAGTTCGACAAGTCCACATGCTGCAAAAAACACACAAGAGTTTTCACAAACACACAAGCAGAGACTTTCACAGCAGTCATTACTCTCTATTGAAAGGAAGTTTGTGAAACCGGAGCAAGCTGAAACTACGAAAGAATTTAATAATCTAGTGATTGATGAATTTGAACTGACTGATTAGTGATTCTGGGCGCATCAACCGCTAAGGTCATTAGTCCTGTACATGTATTGTATATACTTTCTTTGGGAAGTGGCAATGATCTTCTCCTGCTGGATGCTGAGACCTACATGCCGACAAGCAAGATTTTCCCCAATCAGATACCTCTCCCCAGCAGGGCACTGACCCAGCCAGGACAAGCTCCCAACTTGTCTTTCGGAATGTGTGGTTGTATAGTGCATGTAAGTGTGTGTAAGTAAGAGGTGAGGATAGAACAAGGAAGGGGAAGGAAAGATTGTGTGCGGTCTGTGGCCAATTTGTTACGGTACTACTCCGGCATTCACTAGGTGTTGATCGGAGAAACCATAAAAAACTACTGATCAGATCAGCTGGCCACTATAATTCTTGTCCAGACAGTGGCTGAATTCGATCTAGCTAGTATCAAACATCCTGCCACCATTGGGACTCAAACCCTAGGGCTTCCCAGACATAGGTATTGCAGTGACATCAGTTGAAGCCCTCAGCCACCTAAGCCGGAATGTATTTGGAAAAAAAAGCAGGAGGATAGATTAACATTTTACTTAACTTCTCAGGGGTACATATCAAGGAAATTAACTCAATCTAGGTGTCATAAATTTCAGGTTTTCCATTTACGTTTATTGTTATTATTGTTAGCAAAATTGTTCTAAAAATTACTAAAAAATCACTACTATTACTACTAGTGCTTCCCTTATACTCCAAGACATCGACCCCCACTGATCATGGGAAAAAAGTGATAGCTATTATGTGATAAGCCCATAGACGAGTTTCGTTCTGAAGGGAGAGAGATGAATTATATAAATAGTGTCAAAGGAAGAAGACTTTAAAGAGTCTTTAATAAAATGTGTATTGAATAGGAAACATCAAAGGAAATAAAATTACATTTAATAATTATTGATGTAAGGAAGGATTATAATAATGTTATGGTACACAAAATGTTAGACATCCTAAGAAAAGTAATAGTACATCCTGCCTTGATAAAGGAAAACTAGTAGTGCTACAACAGCATGTATTTTCTCCCATTCTTTGTATCACTTACATAATAACATAATCCAACTTCAAACACTAACTACGGTTTCTAACATGGAAAAATGTCTCTGGGAACTGAGTTTTGAAATCCGGTTCTTCAGTGTAGGAAGCATTTTACATAACCACTATAACAGGCTACTGAATCAGTGTAACAACCTTCCCGATGTTTTAAAAAAAAAGTTGAACATCACAATTTTCCAAAAGTCAGAGATTTAATGAAAATCAGATAGATTGAGTAATCAAATTCAGAAAATATTTGCATTTAGGATCAATTTCACTCATCATCTTTATCCTCCAGATCTGTGAATGATACAGATTGACAATCTAATAGGTTTAACCTTCAGCTCTGGATTTTGGGGTTGAGAGCATCAAAATTCGAACTTTTTGAAAATAGCAGCCACCCTAATCCACATGAACAATGAAATCAACTATTGGAGAAAAAGCCCAAGAAGAGTGGAGTGATAAAATTTCTAGCACCATGAGGTCTCTGTTTACATGGAGAGAATGAAATCATTGAATAATAACAGAATGGAAATTATTTAGGACTTTTAGGATTATTAATTAAAGTTGATAATTTTCTTGGAGAACATTTAATAAATTATGGGTATAAAGGCTAAAAAGAAGTTTCATACTTATCATACAAGGAGTTATAGTGAATTTAAAGATGTCATGGGACACTAAATTTTAAACAAAATTATTTAATAACTTTAAAAAGCAGAATATGTTGATTCAACTTCAGATGTTTCCTCACTGAACCAACTGACGTTTACTGTTTGGTATACGAACAGTGGGATTCCTGTTGAATCATTTTTTAGCTTTATACATATTGAGGATCATGCATTACGCTGCATTATGTATATGTTTAACATGTATAATGAAATGTATATTATATAATTACTTTATCAATTCTAAATGATTAATGTAAATAAACAGTGTATTAATACTTTTAAAGATAAATGTAAATAAAAAATTAAATAATGAAAGAGTAATTTTTGTTAATAAGTCATTTCAAAGGATCTCCAAAGAACAAGCAGTCCAAGGCCCCAACAATTATCATTCAGAACATTAAGTTATTGTAAGAAAATTAGTAACCCTTCATATTTTAGAAAGATAATATAGAATAACATACATTTAAAACCAAAATAGAATATTTTATAATAAGTATAATTAAGTATCCTTAGTTTTGCCTACACAAACACTCGCTTATTTTGCACAACTTTTTATCATATCTGCATACAATTACTACATTGTGGCAGCTAAAACTGTTTAAATGGGAATTAGAAATGTTTCAATGACATTGATGAACGTCAAGGGGAGTGTGTCTATAATTACGTGCAAGTATTCAAAATTGAATGATCATGAGATTTAAATTGCATGGTTTCTTAGTCTAATAAATTGAAGGTGCCAGGCACAAAATATGATAACCGTCAACATTTTGGTTGTGATGTGAGAATACAATTTTTGTAGCATTTGCCACCTGTTGTGGATGTGGTGTGATACTCTAGTAGTTATATTTATGGTTCAAAGATTACCTCTGCTATTGTTATTTTTATGTACACATTTAAACAAAAATATGCATTTGCTAAAATCTCAAAAATGTTTCCCTCTGGATTATCATATTGTACACCAGACCCTTTCAATTATGACTAATATATCTTACATACCTATAAAGATAGATTCTTCTGTCAAATACCCTAAGATTTGGGTCAACATCACTCCACATAGTCATGATCTTATTATCAATAAGTGTGGCAAACATCTGGCTTTCAATAAAACGTGAAAGAAAAGGAAGATGTTTATCTGGTTGATCAGATAAAAATGTAGCTTTGTCAAAGTTTTGCATAGTATCTCTGTTGCTAAGCCACTGCTCTCTATTCTGTTGTAAAAAAGGAAGTCACAAACATATAATCTTTATCATTAATTTAAAATCATAACAATGTGTGTCTTTCATTACCTGATTAGGAAGAATGATAAAATGCTCATAAGACGAAAATATATTAACAAAACGGTTCAAAAATATCTCTCTAACAGCTGTATTAAAATGTAGATCATCTATATATTGTTCATTGTCTGTTTTCTTCTTTTCATGAACAGCAGAAGAATTGAAATTTCCAACATCATCAAGGATAACCCCTGTACAAAAAAGTTTACTTTACAAGTGAAATTCACAAAAAAATTATTTGTTTTACGTAAATCAACAAAGTGTTTAAAACCTGACCTGATTGTTGCACAATAGTCACAATCTTCTGCAAGGTATCTGCACGAGAGGATCGGGAAACAGAACAAGAAGAGCTAATTAAACCAGATATGTCTGGAATAGAGTCAGAATCATGAGACCATGAGTGTTTTCGATGAAACTGAGAACTAGAAGAAATATTACAACTTCTTGTCATCAAACTGCCACAATCCGCTCTTCTGATTAATGAAGTTGTTGTGGATGATAATTTTCTACAACAAAAAATAATCTGTCTCAGTTCAGCTTCCGATTTTTCTTTTTTCTTATACCACTACCTAGTATTGAGAAAGTATTGAATTGAACTGAATTGAATTGAATGAATGCCTTATTTTACGTGGCGGGACTCAGGCCATGAGGCCTGCTCTTTCGTCTGACCACACAAATTCTCTTTCACCAACTAGCGGAGAAAGGAGGTATTTCTTGGGCGATGAAACAGGCGATTTGAATTTTATCTCATATGCTTCATTTCGTTAAATCTACTAACATGGGACAGCCGGCTTTACTTCACCTCCGAAGGAAGGAGTACGAAGGATTTTTTCGGCCTTAAAAAAACCACGGCTTCGATCGGGTTTGAACCCGCGAACTTGGGTACAGTCCCATACGCTAACAGTTACACCAACGCTGCTGGGGAAAAGTGGCGAATATTCAACAGATAAAATCGTTTCGTAAGTTCCAAATACCAAAGAAGGTAATTTTTGGTCCTATGCATAGTATACATTACTTTCTCGAAAACTTAGTGTCTTCAGAAAGGAATTTCGTGGGTCCTTCAAAGTGGTTTTCGGAAAACTGTCCGCCGTATGTTAGCTAGGCGCTAGGCGAAGTGTCGAAGCGTCGGGAAGTCGCGGTGGGAAGGTGTGGGTATAACAATTCCATCACGCTTAGTGCCGATTGAGCTGCAATGGTAGTTGACAACTACGAAATGGGAAAAGTTATCCCCACGTATTTTTTTATTCAACTGGTGAAATGTAGAGTATATTGACGGGGGCGGGACCTCTTTCTTCCTTTAACCTGTTCGAAGATACTGTCTTGGTGGTTTAAGTGGTTGACGCAACTGGGTGTATACCGGGAGATCTGGGTTCGATTCGCTGCTGGGATACTCACTGCTTTTAACGGTTTCAGTAGAAAAATTAATGTGATCTGTTCAATAACCGAATCTTCTCGGGATTCTTGCGTCTGTGCCTGTGCCATGCGGCTTTGGTGATGTAAAAGTTAGCCAATCGGACTGTTATACACAAGTTCGCGGGTTTAAACCCACCCGAAGCAGAGGATTTTTAAGGGCGAAAAACATCCATCGTACACCCGTACAAGGATACACTTGAGCTAGTACAGAACCAAATTCTACGGCTCATAGCACGCCCTCCGTTTCGGAAACTGTCGAAAGTACTGAGAAAAGAACTTGATATCCAGTCCTTCCGTCAATACTTGAGACGGCTTTCGTTTAACGAATCCTATCAAGCCTTTCAAACCAACGGAACTCCAGCAACGCGAAAACAATTAGCTCGACACGTCCTCACTATCGGACAAAGAAGACAAGCACTCCACTCGGATATTCTGAGGGCGTAGCGCAAAAGCCGATTTGGTTATTGATTAAGGTCCGACGCAAACCCACACCAAAACTTACACATAGCAGTAAAACTCGGAATACGTGCGTACTGCGAACCAACTGCAAACACACAA